CTGATCTGTTACGAAATGAAATGGGCTGTCAGCAAGCAAGACAGCGTTTAATTCAAATTTAGCTATATTAGCAAAGGTAGAAGCGGTTTATTAACAGCCTGAACTGCCAAAAGCTGCCCGATAGACGGCGAAGAAGCCAGTAGACTCAACTTTGTTTCTCTAACATGGTTCAAAATCCAATAAGGATTTTCTAATAAAACCATATAAGCTCAGTGGATTATCGTACTTCCGGATTGGCCAAGTTATCTCCTCTGTCAAAGATGAACCTACTAATAACAGTTGAGATCTATATCATTGATCACAATCTCTTGGATGGAAAACATAGGGTAAGTATCTGGTTTATCTGATATATTGTCATCATAGTAGGTGTAACATCTGACCAAGTTCCATGTTCCCCGCATCGGTCAAAAGGGAACTGCGCACGCTAGTGACCACAGGAGGGAGAGAGCGAGGGTGAACAACGGTTCGTGAGCGGATAACTAGTTCAATCGGTGTACGAAACCGCACGTCTGCTTCGCTTTGCATATCCTTCTGCTCGGCGCACGCGTGAGTCAACCCGGTCGGGCCGACAGACGGGCCGCCAAAGCGAAACGTAACAGTGGCACTCACGCATGCACCAACATGTGCGTGTGTGCCTCTTCGGCAGATGACATTGCAATGCAAAACAAACATAATTCAGGACGGGGCCGCAAGGGGCAACTAAGGGGGGGTTGGGTGGGGCAACTCCTGCCTATCCCTTCCAGGAATCGTTACACCTGCAGCATGCACGCACACACACCAGCAGCGAGGTAGCGAGCGTGACACAAGAACCTAGCTAGCTATACTTGGAAAAACAGTGCAAGTGGTGATGTTGCGATTTGCGATTGTGTGTGTGAGAGGCAGAGATATTCACTGTAGCCGCCGAAGATGATCGAATCGGAAAGGATCCAATTACAAACCCACACGTACGCACACTGGTGTGTGCGCTCGATTGCTCATTCAGTGCGGTGACATCCGTCCAGACTGTGTGGAGGCAGGGCATGAGAACGAATGATGTGTTTGTGTGCCTATGTGTGACAGTAGTGTGTGTGCCCGTGTGTTGATTTAGAGGCGATTCGGTACAGTGTAGCGCTCCTTCACACACAGTGGGAAAGGCCTGATAACTCGAGCGATGACCGCCCACTGAGTTCGTGTGTGTGCAATTGACGTGGCAGGTGAATAATCTTCCCCCTTCCTCCCACCCCAATTGTGGTGGCGACTTCCGAGGTGGCAGTGAAAGCAGGTCATGCCACCCGCATGGAATTGTCTACTCTTGGTTCGGTGGATGTTTCCTCTCGCCCCCACTAATACTCCACGACGCTTCTTGACAAGCTGTGTTTCAGGTCATTTTTATACCTGTCCCTTCATTTAAGGCATGGCCGCGGGTCCAGTCAATTATTCCTCTCTTCTCCCATCTGAGGGATTAGGAAACTCTCTATTATTCTGTTTTTTAAAAAGGGTCTATACTGGCGGCTCTAGTCACCCTATTTTCCCTCTCCTCGACTCAAGTAAATAGAAATTCGGAAAATTGTACCGTCGTGACAAAAGTAAGTTCTGTTATGAAGACATTGTCTGCAACAAAATCATATGGCCTCTCTAAATTAATGAGTAATCATAATCAATCTACGTCCTCTTTGCTCCAACAGCGAATTGAGTTTGAGTCCCCATTAAAAAAACCCAATGCACTGTGGGATTTCAATAGCTACAACTACATGTCGAAGATATCATTACCAACTGTAATCTTCCATTGTCTATGAAACTATGCTGCTATAGTGATAATAACCTAAACGAAATCCATCCCCATTTTGGACTTCAATAGACGTCTTAGAATCCCTCTGAAGTGAGTGTCAACAGCTATAACATCATCACAGGGGCTAAGGAATTTGTGACTTGATCGGCGGTTCGGAAAGCTAAGAAACCTGTGCCAAGAGGCATGGAGTCCTATAATGTAACAAAAACCAAACAAAATGAAGGTGTTCTAAAAAAATGATAAGAGACTGGCATTCCACTGAGAACGCAGAATTACGATAAGTGCTTCATATCACATTTCCAAATTGAAGTGCAACTATTTCCTATCGTTTGAACGTATAAAACTGTGGTAATATGCCCGACATCAGAAATTTGTAAAGGGCGTCCTGCGCAACTGGAATTGGTTCCCCGTTTGGAATTGTAGCTCAGAAATTCTTACCTCCTCTCTGTAAGCCGGACAAGCAGATAAGGCGCATTTATCTGGAAGAAAATTCACCTTGAACCATGGAGTCTTGGTAACTGAAACTTCTGACTTATCAAAATTAGGGTGAGGTAAAAAATACCCACCTTTTTTAAAGACAGGTACAAATAAAGGCATACGCTTTGTAGACTCCACCAACGTCTACTATGCCAAGTTCAGAAATCCTTACAATTCAAGCCTTCACTAGGCTCTTGCTCCAAGAACCAAAAAGCCGTATTCGAGCAATATGAAAGTGACGATGGTATCACATTGGCAAACTAAATACTAGTTCTTTTTATTGACGATGACAGATATCAGAGACTGTTTTACCTCGATTGAGTTTGTCACTTCCAAAAGTATAAATCAAGGCTCCGATACATTCACGTGGGTGAAGCAGTCAATTAAATCAGGTGCGCGTGTGTTAGGCGTGAATTTTGTGAAGTTGTAAAAGGAAAAAAAATCGCCATGGAAGAACAACCTTTTTACTTCAAGAAACCCTGCGTTTGTAAGTTTACTACTTTTTTATGGTGAATGATAAAGAAGTGTAAAGACAGTAATTGGATATCCAAGAGGCTAAGGCCGAGTTATTAAGAAGGTTCTTTTCTTTGCCCTTAGGGTGCGAGATGTGAATTCTAGGTGGGAACATATCCCTGAACACCTAACACACTAAAGTGCATGCAAAGATTTAGGTCTTGTAAAAATTAAGCCACTTGTTGCCGTTGGAAGTTGTCAATACCAAGTTGAAACGATTGTTTCATGAGACTCAAATAGCATTTTCTGAAGATTACAGCGGATTTTAAAAACAATTTACCAAAGTTTTGACCAAATCATGATGAGTTTCCGCAATCTCTAAAGCAATGAAAACAGAATGGACTTCTGACGGTACTGCATGTAAACAGTCATAAGAACTGTGCACCAGTCACTGGTTCTGATTAGTTTAGAGAATGAAACAGCGGAAATTTGAAGGCTTTTCCAAATTCCATTCTGGCGTAAATGAAGAAAAAATGACATTAAGTTATCGCACAACAGGTTGATTAATTACACCACGGTAATTGAGATGCATTCCAAGATTTTAAAATACAGACAAGGGAACGTATGGGCGTGTGTGGGGTCAGGGAAGTACGAAAAGCGCTCTCTGCGTGTCCAACCTCTGGTCTTCTCTGCGCGCCCTCCACCCCATGCTAAGACACTCGAAGGTGTGAATTCTCGATTAGACTCTGCCCCACATCAGTTCTCTTCATTAATACTCGAAGCCAGACTGACCGGGTGGTCGAGGCTTTAATTTTTGGACCGAAAAATACAAACAAAACACTGGAGAGTTTTCCCATTTTTTAGGTGGATGAGAGAGGTCAGGCGGAGAGTGCAGAGAACTGGACAGGAGAGGTCATTCTCAGTGGACATCGCCGACCTTTGATGATGTTATTGCTCTGAGTCACCGCTTCCTTGCAAAACTGAGCACATGGATGAGTCAAGACAGACAGACAAGCAGTCAAGTAGATGGGAATACCACCAGTCAACCCTTTGGAAGTAAGGAGTTATAATTCCTACTTAGACATTTCATTTTATCATCACCTTAACTTGGTGTGGCGTGGTGAGGACCAACCTCAGCATGTTCTTTTGTTATTTTTAATATCTGAAGAATCCATATAAGCAATATGGCAATCCATTGAATAAGTCCTTGTAGAAGATTTACATTAAAAGCTTTATCCTCTAACATTGTAAATCTCATCTTAAAGGACGAATTTGCAGAAAAATTGACCGATCATACATAATTTTTTTTCTCCCATTCAATATCAGTGGAGAAAAAGATGAAGTGTCACGAAACTACACAGTATTTACGCACTTTACACTTTTTTACGAGAATGTCCTTAGTCGGCTTTCACTTCAGACTAGTTTGCAGCGCAATAGGCGGCTGACGTGATGCTGTAATGACTGCTGATCTCCGTACGGTGACACTACGTTCGTATTTACTCAGTGAATACTAGAGCTGTTTGGTTGAATATCAATCTCTTGAGCATCGTGACGAAAAAAGAGACTTCCATTCAAATGAAAACATTTGAAGTTATCTGTTTATGTCGTAATTTGATAGACGAAAACCATAAAGTGCTAAAGTTTGAAGTCCCAAATTTGATTCTTACTGTGGCAAAAATTTGACCTCTCGAATTTCCAAGCACACAAGTGCTCTCACGTGATAATTAGGTTGGTTAGAGACACCAAAAAAATTGTTATAATCAGAGCTACAAATACCAATTAAAAAATGGCAATTTGATTTCATTCTTTCCTAGTCACACACAAAAAATCAATGTGGACAGTCAGCCCACATCAAAGTAACTCAACCGGAGAGACGGTAATTTCCATCGAAGCACCTTTACGTAGACTCACTGAAGCACGAAATTAGAAGAGCGAGAAGCTCCACCATCCATCTATTACCACCTTCTCCCTAGTACACCGGTCCCCTTTCTGTGGGCCAATTTCTTGAAATTAGCGGAGCAGACATTCACTACAGTTCGTTTTGAAAACATAGCCTAGCACTTTCTATCTTTTTGGGGAAAAGATAAATGGTTGTGATATTGGCATCCCCGAAATGGAATGTTATACCGCAATTTCGATGCTAATTTTGAAAAAAATAGTCTGAAATAGATCTTAAAGACTAATTTGGAAGGAGATGGAACTTGATCCTTCAATCAATTGCATCTTGAAAGAGTATTGAAGTGATCAAAAGCCAGCAAGGCGGAATAATGCAATAGCAAAACCTGAAAGGTAACAAACTTACTAGTTCCATATCTTCCATTTTTAAACTCTTTTCCCTAGATTTTATCAGCACCGTCTTTGTAGTCATTTGCGAGGCTTCAGCAGTTGCGGCTAGAGGTCGTTCCGAGCACTGAAGATTTTTTATTCCATGATGAACATAATGACTGGCAAGCACCTCCCTATTGCACGTTGAGAACTCGCAGAAGAGGCACTGATAGTGGAACTCTCCATCACGCATTTCGCCACCTCGTAGGCGGCCCGAAAATATCGGTACTGCGCAACCCTGTGAGACGTTAAGGTGTGTTCCAGGCGTGGAGCCGGGTCGTTGAACCATTTCTCCACCGTCTGAACGCATGATCACGTCGCTGTCTGAAGAAGGACTAGTGGGAGTCTCCTCCTCTTCCACTTCCTCCTTCACTAATCTGTGCTGAAGCTCCAGGTGTTCAAGAATGAAAGCTTTGGAGGAGGCGATCTTTTTGCACATGGAACATTGATAGAGATTAAACTCCGCAGTCCTGCCCAAATGGCTTTTCACAAAGTGAGATTCGAGCTTCTCTGTCCAGTGACTATGGAATGAGCAAAGGGGGCAGTGGAGAGACAGTATCTCCTGTGCGTCGAATTTCGGCAGGAGGCCCATTTAGAGAGTCTTGTCCAATCACACACCTACACGCACGCTGAGAGAGGGCCGGAATATCTCTCAAAGAAGTAGTGGCCTTAACGGAAGCAGGTGTGAAAGATCTGTAAAGTGTATGCGTGAGCAGGCTAGCAAGCAAGAGCGCAAGAGAGGAAGGGTTGCGTACGCGCGAGGAAATTAACTAAAACTGACTGACTGACAGCACTTTGACGTTGCGCATACGCACATGCACGCAAACACACTGACGCACGCTTGAGAACACACACGCACCCACATCTGCGTGCATGCACAGGTGCGTATGTACTCACAGGAATGCGCACGTACTATTACAGTGTCACGCGTGGCTAGCCAATAGAAGGTCTGCGCAAATGCACGCATGCAGGCAGGGGTGTGCGATGTGGCTTGACCTCCTGATGTGTGTCAAGAGCGCACGGTGCTTATTGGTTGAGTGCCGATACAAGCCGTGTGTGCTGTAGCCAACGAATGACAATTGCGGTAAGAATGCGGTGCGGTGTATGCGTGCGTGTGTGCTAATGTGTGTGCTTGTGGGAGCCATAGATATTTCTTCGTTTGGCTTTTTATTGCACGATGTGAGTTTTTTCTTATTACCTTTTATTACCCGTACTATGGTGCATGTATGCGCGTGTGTGCGCGTTAAAGATACTGTCATTATTGTGAAGTATCAGGCTTCTCTCACCGCATTGCTATTTTTGGGCCCACTGGAACAGTTTTACTCTCTTTTTATCTATCATGACTTTGGACGTTAATATGAGCTTAAATGACTATGACAGGAATCTTTGATTACCAGCCGTCAAAGGCAAACTCTGTGGTAATGACCACCTACGAAATCCTGAACTAATAACTATGTTTAATCCTAAGATGCTGTATTGATAGGACAGATGTCCCCAAAATTAAAATGGTAAGCTAATTTGGATTTGAGGTTTAGTTGCCGAGACTGACACACTCGAGGGTTTAGTGATGAAGCGTGGGCCAATCAAGTCTCTTGATTACCACTCACCTCTCTTCCGGCCAAATTGACGCACTCATCAATTTATTGCTCCATCTGCAGTGGTGTTTGGGTCGTGTGTTGGTTAAAATTTGATTATTTGAACTTAGGTGTCTACCACAAATCAACATTAATAAGTGTAAGGCAGTATTGATGATTCAGTGTAAGTTACGTAACGAAAAGAGGACTGTGGATGGAGTGGAAAATTCGAGACAACATGATTAGACAACTAGGTCCTAATTTAACTACCAGTGTCAGTGCATATTCTTACGGGGCACTTCTTGGTTATGATATCCCCATAGGCATCTCAAGATGTTATAATTTTGTTGTCAACCAATAGAAAAGATCTTTTAAAAAGGGCTCCTTTGTTTTAAGAAGAGATTACTTGAGACTCAGATGTTTCCACCGCTCCATTTTGCGGTATGGGTAATTTTTAAGAAATATTGTACCATTAGAGTGTTTTCGTCTTCTTATTACTATACTTTGACATTGATGCCTCATTGGTGAATGTTAAATCCATCGAATTAATGCCTACCCACTTCAAAATCATCCAAGCCTCCAGCATTTTGATCCAAGCACCCACCGAACCGGTTAAATGAAAATGCATCCACTGATTTTTTAAACATAGTCTCTTTGAGTTCAAAGTCGGTTTTGAGACATATATGCTTCGTGGAAGGTATATGGACGATATTGTTTCCTCGAAATGCGTCTACTGGTGATCGCGCAGAGTGAAGATTCACAATTTAAAGACCATTTGAAGTTCCCTCCTTGAGTTGGACTTGGAAAGCAGTTCATGTTCAAGCTTAACAGTACTTTACAAATATCATCAGCTTGCATAGCACCAACTTCCGTCAAACCGTTTGTTTCTAGATACACCCCTTGATGATGTAGCTGAAGGCACTTTGAAGTGCTACTTAAACCGGCACTTCGCTCTTGTACCAGATTCTTCCGATTGGGTAGTTATTGAATTAAATTACCACGAAATTTGATTCTCAATGAACGAACAGTGGTGCGGATCAGATTAAAATAAAAAATAGCCGTTTAACCAAATCAAACAGCACGACAACTGATAGCAATATTATCACCCATTTATCTAGCAGCAACAAAATTATTTATTTGAAGACGAATCTATTTTCTATTAAAATCTGTTAAGCTTGTTTTCCGAAGGCCAATCAAATCATAAATCTCGAGTTATTATGGTATTTACTTAGTAAACTTGTGACTTTTGTCAGTTCAAAGTCGAGGTCAGGTGTGGCTGCAACACCATTTCCGTCCAAATTGGATGGCTTCTGACGCTTGTTTCCCTAAAGTGAGATCTAGCGTTGCTTTTCAAGACTCTCAATATTACCGCAATCACCGCAGATAGGCGGTCGCCAAAGCAGGACGGGTAAACTTGACTCGTGTATGCGTACACACCCACAGAGACACGCATCAAAGCAGCTAGACAACCTGTCAACCGGAACGGCGGCAATGACGCGCTACACACACACACACAGGGAGAGAGAGAGAGGAGTGTGAGAGATGAGGGATTGGGGGAATGCGGATAACGGTAGTCCCTCACGCCCTCTCCACCATCCTGGAGCTAGGGATGACTTCCTGCGCGCCTCCGTGCGTACGTGCGTGCGTGCGAGCTCGCTTCAATGGTGCGTGTGTTAGGGTCACGGTCGGTGCTTGTCGTGGCTGAACGCCTCGCTCTTGCTCCTCCTCTACCTTCAACTCTGGTTCTCTATCCCCAGCCCCCGCGGGCTTACACAACCACCTTTGATAATTTAATCGCCCAATTTACTGCTACTGGCAAAGTCACCTTCTGTGTACCTCTTTTGTATATGCGAGAGCTCAATAAATAAACAATGGGAGGGGTGTTGTTGTCATTGTTACTGTTGATGGTACGGTCGATGTACTCCTAATCTACCACCTGATTACATTTCTTGTGACGGTGACGCGTGTTTACCCTCTTTGGTCTCGCGAGACGTTGATGGTGACAAGAGAAATTAGTCCTAATATTTGAACATGCGACATCAGTTCTTTCAGCATTGTAATGCAAGAGAACTGAAGTATTAGTGAAGTTTTTTGCGATTCCGTTCACTGCCTTTTCTAGGAAATGCGCTTGAATGCCGGATTAGGCGAGCGTAAGCTTGACTCGACTGATTAGCGGCAGTACAACTACGAAACATGAGCAACGAATCAAGGATGGCCTTTTTCAGTTAGCCTATACTTGTGTTGATGACCCGACTAAATTTGTTGCCACATCTGTTTAAGTTAAAATAATATTATGAATATTTAAGGATATTTTTCTTCGTTTTGCTCATTGAAAAGGACGGTGAATCGGGGCGGTTTACTTAACCCTTTGCAGCTTCAGTGTGTCGGAAGCAACACATATGAACTAGTTGCGTATGCCTGTCTTAAGTTTTCCTTTACCTATTTGAGTTAATTTGCCTTAATTTGGTATCCACCTTTCTTCCCTTTCTCGTGCCCTTTTCATACTATCTGTGAATAAAACCAAACAACTATAAGGCATGAAAGTCATCCTCGTCCAATTATTAAATCCATAGGAGTGTCTGCATTTTGGACTTTCAAATTGACAAACACGGCGAATGAATTGAGCGGCTTTTGTTCTTACCTGAAAAGACTCTCCACCAGGATACGGGTGTTTACAAATCCTTTGGTCCAGTCTCAAAGGTGATATTTTTAAATGCCTTTAGCAGTTTTTATGTTTGGTTGAATATTTCGTTGGTAGTATCTTTTTAGATTGAAATAGGACAACTTGGTATTAATCTGCATAGTTTTGGAGTACCCACTTAAAGAAATCCTATTCTATTATGCTTAGTAAAAGCCACTCTTTTCATGTAATACCATTTGGAGCAATGATTCCTAATTTTGCCACTTTAAATTAACCAAGAACCAAAAAGACTCTTTTGTACCTTTACCATACTCAAGATTTGCAATTTTAGTGTTGAAATGATTGTGATCTAAGAAGGGGGATTTTCGATGTTTTAGTGAAAAATCTGATCTGCTAATCTGTGATGTGGTGCCATTAATCAGGCAATTGATGCATTCAAAACGGTCGTGGAAGCTGTGACTTCTTAAAAGATGATTCTGCTGCTGAAGAACAAGACACTGTTACAACTTCTGACAGCAGAAAGAGGAAAGATCTCATGTTTCCATTCATTTGGGGCAGCAAGTCTGCCCCAAGGGGATAATGAACTGTTTGCCAATCCGACTTGTTACATAACTCATTAAATTTTACCACGTAATGAAGCTCAGATTGTGTTGAATAGGTCAATTGGTGTTGCACAGGATTTTTACTTGAGTTTATGCTTCCAAATCCAGAGCCTTCTTCAGTTTGATACCGTGGTTGATGTGTCGTTTTATGCTGCAAGATGGAGGTGAAGTCACCATGAGTAGGACATTGTACTGTCCTTCGGCATTTGGCGACTCTTTTATTACCGTCAACGACAACTGGTAGTCACTGGAAAAACCAGACCGCCCTGCCCTTCCTCACCACCGCAATGAATAGGCTTGTAAACTTGTTTAACTGAAAATGAAATTAGCCTACTGACTAATCTGTCTCAAGCATGGCCGGTATTCAATTTCTCCATGGCTGGATCTTTTGTGCAAAGAGGAATAAATAAACTGCTTCCATTAGTACTGGAGTTGTCATTCCAAATCCTTTTGATCGTAGGATGCGTAGTCGCATTAATTACTTGCGAAAATTCCTGTAAAATAAGCTCCCGATGCCAGGTCATTTCAAGTCAGAGGGAAAACAATGAATACTATTCTTTTCCTTTTGAAGTGCTTTAATTTTATTGTCAGGTCCACCCTTAACTATACCGTGAGATTTGCGAATTTATAAGTACCTCTATTGTCGATACATGGAGGGGCTGAGAGACTCATCACGGAGCTGCATGTCAGTAGACTGGTAACCAAATCAGGGAAAACCGGGACGGTCAGTGACGTTAAAGACACAATTGCAGAGCCTGTCAATCGTTTTGGTCATCGTCCTCGGTGCGCCTCTTCAAAAAGTAGTCGGGTGTGTAAAAATTACTCGCTTAACAGGAATGCAGATCTTAAGATAAGCAATCATTTCCAAGAGGTGATTCTGAGGTCCGACGATGCTGGTGCAGCTTATAGATTCCGTTTTGACTGAGCACTGCGTTTGATGTGTTCATTGTTGAGGTTTGGACGATGTTTTGTCGTTAACAGGTTTTAGACACCTAAACGGCGATCTCATCAAATATATAATCTGAATTAGCCTCACGAAGGCTCAACTCACATTCGTTTCTCCTTTTTTCTTTGGCGTAGCTGTCTACTTTGATAATTCTCGGCTTCTTGTAACACGAAAGGTCACTGTTTATTCATTTTCACCAGACGGTTTGAATGCATACACTCTGATCTCTTTTAACTGCCGTATATTAATCGGGGGAAATTGCAGAAATAGCGGCTGTGAGTGAAAGGGAATTCGTTTCTTTACATATCCATTCACTTAAAAGGAATTTCTCATATTTTATTTTTAACGACTGATTTTTACTGACCATCAAAGTGAATAAATACGTTTGAAAGTGGAATTAAATTCAACGCTACTCTGTGACAACAACTGTGATCGCTAGGAGCACTAAAATTTGTCAAAACACATTAGTTTTTTAGTTGATTCATGTTAGTCATTCGACATTTCATGATCCGTAAACAGACTAAATTAAGGAAACCAGAGGGAGTATAATGAAATACATTAGCGATTTCAATTTTGAGTAACCGGATTGCATCAGTTATTGCCTTAGCAAGGTGGCAAAGGATGAGGAGGAATAGGGGCGGAAACGGAGGGAAGATCAAAGCGGTTTTGCTCCCATGGCAGAGAGATGCTGTGTCATCGAATTGAGAACACGGGATCGTACCGACCCAGCGCGTGCGTGCGTGTGTGTAGGCGCTATTATATACACACACAGACACACACGTACACCCCTATTCAATTAGCCAGTTGTGGTGCATTTGTGCGTCCAAGCGCAGTTTTATGCACAACCCCTACTCCTCCTCCTCCTCCTCCTCCTCCTCCTCCTCCTCCTCCTCCTCCTCCTCCTCCTCC